TTTATCTTAAGGATCTTAGCTGAAACAAGATCTGCAGAAGAGAGTATAACTCGTTTTTAAGTCAAAACGCATGATTCATATGATTATCGGTACATTCCTCTAAAACTGAACATTTCACTTACTTTTGGGGTTATAAACAAGCCCCACTAAAGTCTCATGAGTTCCTCAAGACTAATGCTAATAGCAACTCATCGATAGAAGACTGACTTTTCTTTTCAACCACCTCTTGTCTGACAGGTAGTCAAATTAATGAATCTGAGAACGCACAAGTTAGAATAAATCTCTACGACATAGCTCTATTGCATGAGTAAGAGTATGAAAAATGGGAAACTTATCTTAAATTTCTGTAGTCCCTCATTTATAGAAGTGGGGACCTCATAACCATAGATAAGATCATACTTACACAGCTTAATAGACACCATAATTAGGACACTTGAACTCTGTGCTCTGATACGAAGTTTGTCACAATCTAAGTATACAACCTGGAAGTGGCCGAAACTCCAGAACCATTGGTGGTCCCCAAGCGAATCCTCATCTTGGCTGACTACAAGTTAAATACTAACTTAAGCATGAAAAAACTTAAAACTGAATAAAAACTCAAAAGATTAACTTTGAATAAAATTTAGATATTCAACTCGCCATAAAATAGGCAACTTAAGTCTTTAAAACATTTTTAAAAAATAAATAATACAACTTCTCAATAATAGTGAGTATCTATGAAGCCTCTAATTGATAAAGATGAAGTCGGGAAAAGACCGACAGTATCCAAAAAAACCTGATATAACTGAAAGGTAAATGAAATCCTCCGAAAGCAAGGATGCTCAGCATAGCTAACTCAAACTCTCGGATGTATCAACGAAGCTTCCATTGATGATCCTAAGTAAATGTGTATGCATCATCAAAAGAGGCAGACAAAATGGCTCAGTACATGGAATGTACGAGCATTTAAGGGGAATTATAAAGCATAACATAAGCTTGAAACTTGATAAAAAGGAAACATACTTACCTATTTTTAATTCTACTCAACTCAAGGAGTGCTTCAAGGATACTTAAAACTACTCAACTTACTCAACTCAGAAGTACTCAAGGATAAGATACTCAACTCGGAGATTAGATACACAACACAAAGATTAGATACTCAACTTCAAGGGTATACTCAATAAATCACGGATCAACTCAAGATACTCAACTTAAGGTACTCAACTTGAAATACTCAACTCTTGATACATAACTGAACTCATTTTCATATAAAGTAGTTTAAAACAAGTTGAATATAAAGAAAAGTTGTTTAAAAATATGATTTCAACTCTGTGTATATAACAAGGATACAACATAACTCTGAAATGTATATAAAAACACAATAACTTCTGCGGGAGTTTCTCTAACCGACAACCATCACATAAGAGATATAGTGATGATACAGTGATCAACCTCACGCTGCTAGAGGTTCTTATATCCGGCCAAAGGTATAGGACTTGAATTACTAATGGATCCACTAGTCTATGTGAAACGAGTTCATCTAAAAAGTATGACCCTTCTCTACCCATGATAGAGCTACATGATTTATGGGGGTTGTGAGTTGTCTGAACTCTCCCCATATCAGTGCTCAATATTACTCCTAATATATATTAGCTCTTATGTTTTAAAATATACTTCTTCTTTGATTTGAGATTAGTGCTCAAAAACTTAGCTCGAAGGCTACGTTGGAAACCTCAGTTTCCTTTCTTGATTTACTTAGAAAGTGATTACTCTTTTCTAAAAAAATAGCCTGAAAGCTCTTTGGGAATACTTAGTCCTCATATGCTTCTTTGAAGAACAGAACTTCAATTGTACTCTTTCTCAACTCAGTGCTCAAGTCTTTAAAACAAGTTTTAAAACAATTTGTAAATAGAATTCTTAAAATAAGGTTAATGCAGAATTATGGACATGAATAACTCAATTCAAGGTTTACAATAATCATGCATAAAACTCAATATTGGAACTCAAGAACTTTAGAACTGATGGAGTCAATGATACTACTCATCTCAAGAATGCTCGACTCAGAGGGTTCATGCGGAATTATAGGCATGAACTACTTAAATCAAGGACTCAAGGATACCTCTCACCTCAAGACTGCTCGACTCATAGGGTTCATTCGAAATTATGGGAATGAACTATTCAACTCAAGGACTTCACGGGTAACATGTAATAGTCATATGATTAGGAATGAATCTCAAAGACAGAAGGCTTGAATATACCACTTCTCTTAAAGATGCTCAACTCCAAAGTTCATGTTGAATTATGGGCATGAAGCAACTCAACTCTAAGGTCTACATAACCACATGGAAGACGTGTATATGACTCTTCTCATTCTCTCACTTACTTCCTCAAAAATAGTTAAAATTAATAGTTGAATCTCAAAGGATTCACCATTGGACTCAAAAGTTTTCTTGAACTCTACTCTTAACTCTCTCTTGAATGTGAATTATGAATTCAAAATTTATGGTTCATGATATAAAATATGTATTTAATAGTGTATAATCATGAATATATCCTCCTCTCTCTCATTCTCACTTGCTCGAGTCTTGAAACAACGTACTAAAAGTTGTAGAGGACTCCACAAAAAGGATCTAAAGGGACTTTCTTAGAATGTTGAAAAGAATTCTCAAAACTTAACTTTAAACTCTACCTTGAGTTTGATTTATCATTCAAGGTTATAATCATTTTAGGAATGATTTTATGTGTTTAGAAGTATCTTAGGTTAGTTAGAATCGAAAAGGAGTGAAGGTTCACTTTCAACAAATATAAACAGAGCAACTGGAGGCAAACTAGATGGGGCAGGAAACCTTGGACCTATCGCACCAGCTTCTAAAGTTCAGAAGTGGGTTTGGGGAGGTCTAGCAGGTGCATCGCACCAGGCCCCAACCCAAAAAATCTAATGAGTTTTCTTGCTCTTTTTCTCACTCTAATTAGCCTAGAATCGAATGGTTTCTTCCCCTAATAACTTGTATTTGATTTCTTAACTTAATTACACTCTAATCTACTTAAAACTAAACTTGAATTTCTCAACTCCATCTCAACAAATCATTAAAACCCCAATACAACAAGATTTAGAATGAACTTCGAGAACACCTCTCAAGAACTCATCAAGAACTCTAAATATTAAACTTTAAGAATGAAATTTTGCTGAAAATAACATGATTGGCGTGTGGGTAAACTAAACCAACACTGTGGAAGCTTGCATACCTCTTAGGGATCAAACCCATGGAGAAAATTCACGACATCACGCAAGAATTCGACATACGCCTTATCTTCCCCTATTTCTCCTCTTTTCTTTTCCTGACCTCTAAATTAAAACCTAGGTGTATGTTAGGATTATAAAACTGAATCTAATAGTATTTTACCTCTAAAATATTATTAAAAACGAATTAATTCTTGTTGGTTAAGGAAAAGACCAAAATACCCCTCACTATTTTCGGCTAACTTTACTTAACTTGATAGCCTAACTTCAAAAGGTCATATCTCACTCATCCAAACTCGAAACTTAGAAAACTCAGCAACATTGGAAAGATAATTCAAATATATTTCGTAAGATATCTTGTTGTACAACTAAATCATCATGTGCTAGGATTTATGGTCATTTAAATTTGACCCAAAACTCATACTTAGTTTAACTCTCCAAATTTCAGATTTTTGTTATTTCCAATTTAGGTGTTTTTAGAACTCAAGGTGCTACGTCTAGTTACCTGAACTTAATACTAAATAAATATTAAATTCCTTAGCAAAAACTTACTCACTATGAATGAAGGATGAATTGAGTCTAAGTTTGAAAAATTTCCTAAGGTGTTACTATATGTGTTGGAACATGACACCCAGTTTAGTCAGCACAACCATAATTACAACCACACCATAATAAAGAGTACATATAATCACATAATTAAGTATGTAGGTTCATTTCATGTAGTTTTACGCATATAATCATTTCATTAGATTCGATTCATATTTCTCATTCTCATTCAAGCATGCACATACATAGCAATCAACTGGCATATATCACAAAAATATGAAATCAAACCGTCACCTACCCCTAGTTCACAAGGTGAGAATTTTCCTCATAATACACATTACTTCTAGCAACTAGGGAACATGTATAATCCCTCACCCCACCCCCCACCCCCCAATGTCCGAAGGACTACGGATGAATTCTACCCTCAATTAACTATGTACTACGCAGCAAGCACGAATTTACTACTATTCAAGTAAATTAAGCTAGCCTACTTGGACGTCAAGCAGTTGCACGGGATTTTGGCTCCAATCCTTGTTTTTGGATCTCGAGATGGTGGATTTTGGTCGGAAATTTGCAAGTTATCGTCAATCTCATGCTAGAAATCTCTTTCCCCTTCCTTCCCCAAGCCTAGAGCAGTCTTTTAAGTGTTTTTGGGGTAAACTTTACCTCTCTTTGGTGTTTCAATAAAATGAAAAAATTAAGCTCCATGTCATTTAAATTTTGCCCCCAACTATCTCGCTGTGGCACTCCTTGTCACATTGGAGCGCCACAGCCCTAGCGGCATATGTGCCGCTCTAGCGGGATAATGGGCTCAATTCTCCAAACATCTTTCCTTTCCTAAATAACGACGGCTCGAATCGTTACATCACATGAAATAATTATGACATTAAATTATGAATGAATAGTCATCAAACAAATAAGTATCTACAATTTCCCTAAGTAAAATAATTATCTTCCAATTTTAATATAACTTAATTGACAAATTTATTTACGATTGTCTAAGTCACTTTTCATAATAAGTTTTAATTGAAAAGTTGTGACTACTAATAGGAGTACGAAGTAGTTATTTTTTCCACTATATTAGAAGCATGAGTTATAGATTAAGTAGCATCATGACAATTATATGTCATTTAAATTATATTTGAGGGCATTTTAGACTTTTCACCATCAATTAAAGCTACGTATCCTTGAAGTAGCAATTGATTTTCCCACGTATCCTTCACTAATTTCAATCTCTGTCTTTCTTATCTCTCTTCTCTCACCTTTCAAAGAGAATCAATTTCTATGAGGTAAAGAAACAAAAATTTCATTTTCCTCCTTCGTACTAAAAATGACTCTATTTTGAGCACTGGCTAAGATGTCTATTTTCTAATTCTTCATTGGATTTCTTGCACCTATTTCTTGTGCGCTTAATAATTTTGGATCAGGATTTCTTTTATGTGTAGTGATTTTTAATTTAATTGAAAATTTCATGTGGTTTTCAAGGATGAGTTATGATTGATATAATAATGATACAATTGATAACTATTTAGTTGTTGTAACTGGATAAATAGAATTAATAAAAATATTAAGTTATTATAACTCCTATAACTGGGTAGTTTTAGAATTCTATTTAGTAATGATATGGGGCAACACCAGATGTGGAGACATATTGATATAGATAACTTATGCTTATGATCTCTAAAATAGTCATATATATTTTTGTATTTTTGCTTTGTATAACAATAAAATAATTATTGATTTGTGTTTGTTTAATAGTTGAGAGTCCGGTGAGTACTGCCTTTTCATTGATTTTTGTTCATCTCTTTGCTTCTTCGTGATGAGAGGAGACAATATTCAAAAGTCTATTTCATCTGTTGAATGTTAATTAGTACTTTAATTCATTTTCATGTCAATTCTTCTTAGGATATATTCCGTCTATTTTTGCTTAGTTTACTTATTTTTTGTCAATTGATTTTTAGTAGATTTCATCAGTTCACTCCTTAATTGAAATCAAATTTCTACTGCTCGAATGCAATGGCCATACAATGCAAATTATGTGATTGATGCCTTTTGACTAAGTGAGGGCTTTTTAGTATATCAACGAATAAACATTGCTGATTAGATAGGGCGTCATCCATGGCCCAGTGTGCGAAGTACCAGCCACAGAATCTGAAATACCTCGAAAATGTTTGAAATGAATATCAATGAGTACCATGGATGGAAAGACAATCTAATGTTTTTGTCAAATAAATTAACGCTAAAATATGAGTGTGCATGTATATTACTTCATCATGGTTAAATATTATGTATTCTTATTATATTTTATAACATGCTAACACATATATATGTGCTATTTAAGTAAAAAAATACCACTAAAATTATATAGTCCAAATTATTATTAAAAATAATCCACATGTGTTTTCCGTCCATTGTATATCAAATTTGGAAATACAAAATATTCAACAACGCTAGCAGCACAGCACAGTCCTTTAGCTAGAAAAATGAATTAATTCTCGACTTAGATAGGACCTGAAACTTCTCATTAAGAATGACAAAATACTTACTATTACCATAACCTTTTTTGATGATATGATGCAGTTTCAAATGGAAAAAACTTGTGAAAGTATTGGAAATGAGCTAGCTTAATAAAAAAGTACACGATCATTCACTGGGCACGTGTGAGCACGGGCACAAATTATCAAGTTTAAAACTAGAGAAAATAGCTTGTGTTGACACGTGCCCAACATTATAATAATTTAAATACAAAATATTAGGATAAAGTTATGCATAATTTATTTTTATAAATTCTATATACTATTAATACTCTAATTAAAATTTTAAATATCAATATCTAAAAATATAATATAGTAGAGGGAGATGTTTTTCAATCACGATAAATTCCTACGAACTATAAGGAGTCTATCACCTTTTTCATATTATTTTACATGATATTATATTTATTTTTAAAAAAAATTATATTTAATCATAATTTAATTTTAATTATAAGATTTATCAATCGTGAATATCTTGTAAACAAAAAACATATACAACTATCTCCATCCACCATTGCACTCCTTATTCTTCATTTATAGAGAAGTTTGGAGAGTTAGGCTTCATTTGTTTCTATTAAGATTTAGACATTTGAATCTGAATACACATCTAAATATTAAGATATGCATTAAGATGTAGATGTGTAAATCTGAATAAACATCTAAACATTAAGATGTTATCTCTGAATCTTAATACTGAATTATTGGGATTTTTTATTTTCAATATCTGAATGTACATATGAAACGTTATATCAATAAAATATTATAAAAACCTTATTTTAATATAATAATTTTTTTAAAAGAAAATAACATTTTGAACTTTTTTATCATAACAAGATAATATGATTTATTTATTAAGAATTTAACATTAAGTTACACATTAAAATGACTATTCTATGCACTCAAAAACTTTGAGAATCTAATATAATACAATGTAAAATAGTTTATATAGAGTAGTAGTATAATGTTTATGAAAACATTTTATTTTATGGTGGAGATTTGTTATTGTTATCGATCAAATTATTAATACTATCTTATTTTCTAAAATCGTGCTAAATATTATATCATGAAGTGTTCATCAATTTAAATATATTGATTAATTTATGAAAGTAAAAGACGTATATTAACCTAGTATGAATAAAGGAAATTATAAGAAGAAAAAAAAATTTCATGAATTGTTGTGATATAATTGAATTAAGATAGGAGTCTTATTTATTTTTTTTGAATTTGAATAGTGTTAAGATTGTGTTACAGATCTGATTCATTTAGATGTATTCAGACTCATTAAGAGACTTATAAGAAAATAAAACAAACAAACTTAATAAGCTGAATCTGAATAATTAAGATTCAATCTTCAAAAACGAACACACTGAATGAGGCAAATCTGATTGATTAAGATTCAGATCTTCATTAAGTGCAAACAAAGGAGACCTTACTATTCATACTCTCTATTTAATTTTTGGATTATTTCATTATTATTTCTACTATATAATATTTCTAACTAACATATAATTATTTATTATGTAAGACCATTAATTAATTTTTAATATTCACAGTTTTTATTATATAATATAACATTTCAAAAATATATTATTTAATGCATACTATTTTCAATCTGAATTAATAGTATTTCATTCCTGAAAAAAAAATATTTAAGACCAATTTTGATATGGAAATTTCATAAATTAATTGCCTAAAAGGTATTTTATTATTAAAAAATAAATAAGGCAAAATCAGGAGGCCACAAGTCTTATGTAGTTATGTTACATGTGTAGTTAAATAGGTTCCACGTATACAATGATATTTCGGTAAATAACATCACCTAAAATTTAACAGAAAATAATGGATCTTTTAAGAACTTGTTGATGTGAAAGAAGTTGTTAATGTGTTCTAAGGATTAAAACGAAAAACAAAACCTCTTTAAGTAAACTTATCTTGCAAAATATCATTATACACTTAAACTTTCATCTAATGTCATTAAACTGACATGCTGAAACACTCTTTTCTAATATATAGAAATATTAATAATTAAAAAAATGAGTTTTTGCATTAAATAAAATTTAGGCAATTTAAATGGTAAGTTAGGAACTTTATGCGGTGAATGTAGTATAATCTTAAAATTAAAATAGAGTATTGACATTAAATATTTTTTAGGCACTTTACCTTTTAAGTTAAACGTCATACTTTTATTAATGTATAGAAGTAATAGTAATTTATATATTTAAATTTATTGAGTACGATATTTTTTTGATTTATTTTTATTACTTAATTATTTAGTGTGATTATGTCACGACTCAGTCCACTAAACCGTGTGGGCACCAACTCTAACTCCAAGATGAGCAAAAATCCTTACTATCCAATTTAATCAAAGTATGCGAAAATTAACAAAATACAGCAAAATTCTTTTAATACCTTAAATATTTATACAAATATTCAAACTTAAATAAAACCCCTTTTACAACAGCGAAAACAATCCACAAAGAACTGGTCCAAACAAATTAAAGAGCTACTAATGATATAGTTTATATAACATAGGATGACATAACACCTACTATAAGGAAGGAAAAATGGAAGTTTTAAAAAAATATCATCGTCTTCACGTATAAAACAATACTGACCATGTAACTAAACTATGTCAAGTGGTATAATAAGAGTAAGTCTGGCAATATAACTGGTGGTTGTCGATACCGATACTGTTCCATCTTGGTCCATTATCGGCACGGTACGGGTTCTCTAGGCCCCAATTAGGCCCGACTTAAAGGAAATAAGGAGCAGTAACGGAATGGAAGGTGGAAATTCTTGGACCGTCTCGATTGGACTAGAAACTAGATTCGATTTCGTTCCGTTCCGGTTCTGTTAGATATTTCATTTTTTTAAATTCTAACTAGTCGTTGCTAGCCATTGGTAACTTTGATACTTTAACCCCCCCCCCCCAACACCCCCTACCCTCAAACTTTTTTCAATATCCCAAAAATTTAAAATTTATATTTTAGTCCTATTTTTTAACTATAAAAAACCCTAACCTTCATTATTTTTACTCACAAATTGTCTTCATTTTCTATTCTCTCAACTCTCAAGTCTCTTATCTCTATTAAAGTACAAATTGTATTAGTTTGAAAACAATTTTTGTGGATTATTTATTCTTTGGAACTACCTTCAACTTTCAAGTTTTATCTATCAACTTTCTACTTTCGGTCGTACACGCCTGCTTTTTAAGTGACGTTTGGTACATTCGTTTCAATTTTCATCTTTTTGTCATTACTTATTTAGTTATTTATTTGTTTGCATTTAATTTGCATATTATATATAATTTTCTCACTATATTTACAAAACTATGAAAAAAATAATAAATTGATAGTTCTTCTAAATCTACACTAGACAAGTATCTCAAATAAAAATAAATGTGATATATTTTACTCATGTCGACGTAATTATTTTTAATATTGATAGTAATATTGAATTAGATCAATATCATGAATCATTACAAGCAAGATTTGGTAATTTTGATGAAGAATTAGAACATGATAATGTTAATGATGATATTAATACTTTTGGTGATGATGATGTTAAAACACGTGTTACGACTACAAGTCTCACTCCCACTCTGACTCCCACTCCTATTGGTTGTTCAACTCTCATTCCCCTTGTATATCCTAATCGAGTTAGGCCCAAGGTAAAATGTTCTAAAAAATTTATTGTGTGTCAAATTTTTGACTGAAAGTGAAGATAAAATACAAGTTATTTGTAATAAGTGTAAATATAGAATTAATCATAAAACTGCGAAAAAGGCAAGCGGGATGGGAAATTTAAGTAATCATTTAATGGGATATTGTAAAAATGATTTTATATTTGTTAAAGTTGCAGCTGAAGCTAAAGAGAATGATACACCGCTTCCTAATGCATCTGTAGGAGTAGGGAGCTCTAATATGATTCTACCACAATTAAACTCTTATAATGCTTTTGTCCTTAGTGTGCCACGCTCATAAACTAAAACCGACACTTTGCTCTATTTATATTGATGATTTTCATATTAGATGTGTCGCATGCATATATAATTTGGTTGTTAGAGATGGTATAACAATGTATAATAATAGTCGCATAAAATGTGAAACAACATGTCATTTTATTTTTAAATGTCAAGTAAAGGCTAGATGTAAAGAACTTGGAAATCGTTGTCATAAATTTAATCTCCCCCTAGAAAAAATTCTAAATTAGTGTCTACTAGATGAAATTCTTTATTTGAAATGATTTAAGTCGCTTATGAATATAGAAAATCTTTACAAAGGGCTTGGAATGCTCGTAATTCAAATATGGACTATAGACTTGATAATTATTGGAATGACGTAAGAGAACTTATAGAATTTTTAGAAGTTTATTATTTAGCTACAAAATAAATTTCTAGACTTTATTATCCTACTATTTATTTTGTTTTACCAAATATATTATTTTTACTAAATTTTATAAATTCAAAAATAAACCAAGGTTTGTAGATTTTGCTAAGTATAACTGAAAATTTTAAAAAATATTTTTTTCCTATTCCTCAAAATCATTTAATTGCTTGATTTTTAAACCCAACTTATAAATATGTAAGTGCATCATGAATGATTGAAAATATATATTTAAATTTAGATGTTCAAGATTTTGAAATACCTAGCTTGACAACCGTTAAAGGTATTATAAAAAGCGAAGCTTAAAATTGTATGACTTGTATAATTCTCGTAGAATAAATGAAGTTGTATGTCATGAAGAACCTGAAACTTCTACATATGGATAT